TGTGTTGTTCGAAGCGATTCGATCATGGGAGTCACTCTATAATTTTTTTATTGTTCGAGTTTAAGTCAGTTAGATGATGTTGGCGCTGGGAAACTCAGAGAAATGCTCGCGTTGCATTCAAACCGACACGCTGTTCACGGTAGGTTCAAACTAAAAGATGACTGTGAGCGTCAGGTTTGGAACGCCGTGGCCGCTTCGTGAACTCAAAGAGAGAATTATCGATCGATGTCGTACATGAGCAATTAAGAAGCACAATTTATGAGCAAGGTATTTCACCAGTTGACGACACTATGGCTGAAGACTTGATTGTAAGCCTTCGTAGTCAGTGAAGCGAACAACTCAGTTGCCGATGAATGGCACTACGCACGTCTATGAGCGAGGGACGTGACAACTTTGCCATTTTAGAAGACTGGCTTTTCCTTTAAATATTTCCTTCTATTTATTAAATGCAACACACGCCACTTTGGAGGTCTAAATTTCGGATACTGAGGATAAAGAAGACACGGACAAAAATAGGGACTCTGAGAATTTCGCGCACAATGCACAAGTTTAAAGCTTCACCGGAACATCCCATCCGGGAGCTTCACAGAGAGCGACTTTAGGAAAATAGGAGCTATTACTGGCAAGGTTTGGTGACTGAGTAGAGCATACAAGTGTAGCCCACGTCGAGGTTTCAGGGGGTTTGCTTTTGTTTGTATTTGTATCTTGCTAAGCTTTTATCATTAAATTTGTACATGATCTTGTGATCAAAATTCTGTGTTTTCGCCCATTCAGCAAGCACGCTATATTGATGTCAGCATTAGCGAGTTTCAGTAAAAAAGGCCTTTGAAAGTTTTTTAGCTCTCGTGATGTTTCTTGATATTTCTTTCACCATTTTATGAAGATGTTAACTGAAGTCACCGCAAAATGGAAACTTAAGAAAGCGTATAATCCATTTATCTCGAAACATAACACACATGACTTATACGACCTTTATTTTCGTAAAGGTGTTTTGAATACGAACGAACAGAGTCAATGTGAGGGGCAAAAACAGCATTAATATAAATGAACCATAGGGTTTTAACTAATATAAGGGTCAATTATTGTGCATTGAGATGAATCGCTTGAAAAGAGAGACTTCGCTTGAAGATGTGATCAGAAGTAAACAAAGGCATAATAGTGCGTCACGTTCAGTCTTTTTGATATCCAAGGAGTCACTGTGAATAGTGTTTCCATATTGTTTAGCTGGCACAAAAACTTCGGACGAGTTATAAAGCGGCATAGTTATCTTCCATGAAGAAAAGTTCGTCTTGGGTGAGACAAACAGAACTGGAGCGAATTTTTAACTCGCATCGGTATCAGGTAAAAAATATGTTATCGATCGTTTCATCTATTTACATTGTTTGAAGTGCGTGCTGGTAAACGCAACATGCGAGCGAGAAATCTTTAAACTTTTTTAGGTCTCAAAATGCAAAGGATTTTATTCCTTTAAGTTAGAGAAAAATACCATGAGGAAAATCTTAAAACTGAATATTTTTCTTCTTGTGGAAAAAATAGTGCGTTTTCTTGTAGACTGTGGACCGCAAATTAGGATCGCACTTTTCACAAACATGCGAATTCCGAAGTTCAGAAGCCAACCGACGATTGCGTTTTTCGCTGCTGTCAATCATCTTAACGGACCTCTTAGTAAACAAAACTCTACTTCACGGGTTCAAAAGGTCATGGTTTGTGATTTGTGGATTTCGATCCGTTTTGTGTGTTTCTCAGTTTCAAGGTTCGTTGCTTTTGATCGTAATTATGATTGACGGCAGCGATAAACACAATTGTGAAGGTGGCTTTTGAACTTTAGAGTTCGCATGTTTGTGAAAAGCGCAGTAAAGTCTCCGTGCAGTCAGTGAGGCCCCTGGATCAGGCGGGATCAATGGGCAGTTAACTGTCTGTTTTAGTATACTTCTGGTTTTCATATAATACAATATTTCTGTCTAGTGTAAATCAGCTCATTATACTCGTAGAACGACAACAATTTTTGGAATTTCCAGTTACGTCACGTAATACTGTCACGCTATATTTTGGGGCACAGAGGGATTAGGGGAGAGGTACGTGGAAATAATGCAAATTGTTTCCTGCTTAGAATTAATGACTAACTTGTCTATTTTTATTCATAGTGGTGGAATTTAAAAGTTATTATACAGCCCCCACTTAAAAATGGTACTCTTTTTTTGAGTTACGAAAGTCTTTCAAAAGGGTACAATGTTTTGAATGAGTTTATGTTTCAGTCTCACATGAGGTTCTGTCGCATGCAATGGTTGTCGACAAGGTTTTATGGTAGCCTGAGTGTGTATAGCCGCCCCCTCCCCTCAGAAAAAATAGCCCCTTGGCAGCCCAGTTAAAAATCGCCTTTCGGCGATTCTTGTTGTTTCTGCGATTCCGATTGTGCTGCAGCTGTTCGGCTTTTTCGCTCTGTTTTCCCCTTGCCTGATAGAAAATTTATTTGCGCATAAGGCTTTCAAACGGGCACTGTTTTCAAAATAATATAAACTTGTCGATAAAAATAAAATTGTTATGAGAAACGATTTCTCACCTTGCTGTTTGCACGCGCTCCCCCTGCTTTTCCGGTAACAAAGCCCATCAAATCTATAAACACTTCGAATGGACGAATTTTTTTTAGTTAAGCAAATCCAGGTATGAACTACAGATCTCTTTCTCTATGAGATAAAAACATACATATAAACCAAACAGTAAATAAAATCTTATGAGAAGCAGGAAAGTAGTCGCCGCTCAAAGTCGGCTAGATCGCACGATCGCCTCCCAATCGCGATAAACTTCTTGAAATTGTCTTGTGAAGCCAATAGCAAGCATTTAAGGCCACTATGAGATCTTGAAAATTCTCGAAATCGCTCTCTTCCGTAATGTTTTTCGGAAAAGGCAGCAGTGTTTTGATGCCTGGGTTTGATTCATTTCTCTTACGAGATGCGAACTCGACCGTGTCACGATTGAAATGAGGCACAGTAACAGTTTTACCCATGAACCTTTGTGGGTCGTGACGCACACCGCCTGTTCAGGACCCAATGTTATAAAGATTAAATTGGTAAACAAATGTCACGAAGTTTGTTTCATTTCTATATTTATGCATAACGAAAGTGTGAAATAATAGTCAATAACACGGTACTTCCTTTTATTCTAACTCGGGCGTACGTACGCTACTTAACTGAAATTCGCTAAAGTGCCCACTTTATTCTTTTCCTCGAGTTTTGCTAAGCGTTAAGAATTAAAACAGGTCGACGATGTTGCCAGCGTTTTTATGGAGCCTTCAAAGGACAAAATGTAAAACAGGGAGGGTAATTTGCAATTTTGCGAACACGAAAATTTTCTGCTAGTCATTATCAGTGTCCCAAGGCTCTTGATATCGTAGTAGATAAATTATTTATAGATCAGTTCTCGTTCCCAACCAGAAGAATTACCTATCGTGCAAAGAAGGTGATTTGATTTTCGAAGTCTTGAGATGAATCACGGTAAATCTGAGAAGAAACCCAAAGGGAAATGCTTGTCTGGCCTAGTGTCCCCACACTGGCTTGTGTGCGTTGTGTTGGCTGCGACGTGCGCGGCTTTGGTGGTTGTTGTTCTTCAGATGGATCGTCGTATTTCTGCGTTCAAAGATACTTTAAAGGACTTGCATCGAGAAGGCACACAAGCCTCAACCGCTAACAACTCTTCAACGGTGTCTTCTGCATCGGCCATGGGCACTAGAGCAAAGAGGGCAACTTCAAACACAACTCCCGGTCAGAAATCAGACATTGAAAAGCGAGTGAAGGCTGTGGAAGAAAGGCGAGTTACATGAAATCAGATTATATAATCATAAGTTTAAAAACGCTCCCTAACCTCAGTATTAGATCTCAGTCAGTTTCTACTATAAAAGAATAGCTCGGACATGAGGATGAGTTCTCAATGGTATGGCTATTTTGCTGTTGTTAGACGTGCGCGTGAAGGGTCAGTGTGTCTTTTTGGCAAAATAGGCTCGACTAGAATGAATGGATGTAGTATTGTAGTGAATTTAAAAAGACGAAGGTGAAAGAGAAGCTAGGGAAGAAAAAAAAAACTAAAACGCTGTTTCCCCAAAGTTTTCTGTCGAATTGATGTGAGTTAGCCTTTCAAGACCGCCCACACTCCAGTTACTAACAAAAAGTTGCGCTGTGCGTAGAATCGTCATTGGGACGGCAAGCTCTTGAGGTGCTACTAAACAGACTAGAATTAAAATCCTGCCACAAATGCACGTTAATGCAAGTTAACGTTTTTTGCCAAGGAGCTCTTGTTAGCACAAGTAGTAACAACAACAAATGCAAACACAACAACATTTATACAAGAAAAACACTATGCATGCCCCAGGATGGACATCAGTGGGTGTTGATAGTAACCCGGCGCAGAAACGTCCCCTAAAAATCAGCAAAGACGAAAAACAGTCTCCAAGAGGGCAAAAAACCCTTGTTTCTGTACTTGGAGACTTTTTTGTGACCAATTTAAAACATTGTAACAGCTTTGTAGAAGTTCTACCTTTTTAGAATGGAGCAACTGTGACACGAAGTTTTATAAAGACGCAAAACAGAACTTCACAAAAAACTCGAAAACAATAACCGTTCACAAAACGAAATTCGAAAAACCGCAAAGATCAAGAGCAAAACCGAAATTGCTTAAAACCACAAAACCGCAAAACCCTGTAACTCAGTTCAAGTTAGGTCATATTTCTTTCTTCTTTTCTTTCAGGGTTGGAGCGCTATTAAACAAGTCGGATTTTTTTGCCAGCAAATTGAGGGTTCAAAAGCTCTTTTCCTACATAATTCGAGGTACCGTGATTCACATGTAGCGTATAAAAAATCGGGATTCTTTCTGGTCTTTTCTTTGAGGGCCTTGATGCGTAAAGTGGTGAATGGGATATGATCATTTCCTTAAGACATGATTCAATACTATCTTGCGTTGGTTATTCCACACATGTCAATAACTTAACTTCAAATTTCGTTTCATTACAGGAAGGGACGGCCGTGATGGTAAGGATGGTCCTAAAGGTCCACCAGGCTTACCTGGAAAACCAGGAATACCAGGCAACCCTGGATTGCCTGGTGTTGGGTCTCCTCATGGGAAAGCTGGGCCTCCTGGTAAGGACGGTCCACCTGGCAAATCTGGGGCAAAAGGTACTCAACTTTGATTACTTTTGCTTAGTTTTGCTTCTTTAACATCGAGAAACTGAGCACAAACTGATTTGGTACTTTTTCTGGAAGAACATCTATGGAAGACATTTTCCAAAACTCTTTCAACCTTGTATTTCTGACCTCTCACAGGAGATGCTGGTAAGCCAGGCGTTAACAGACCGTTTCCAGGCCCTCCCGGTCCCAAAGGAGAGAGAGGTTCTGCTGGAAGTCCTGGGTTGAAAGGGCCTCAAGGACCCAAAGGCGAAAAGGGAAAGGAAGGAGCTGGGAAGTCTGGAGTGAAATATGTTCGTTGGGGAAGGACTACTTGTCCAGGAGTTGCTGATATAGTTTACAAAGGTAAGTCAGCTCTGCCTTTTATTAAAACATTTTTCCTTAAGATCAGATTCATGAAAAAATTAAATACACATTTTTTTCCCACGGCTATATGTTTCAAATTTATTTTGCTATTCTGGTTGATAATTTTTAGGTATAATAGGTGGAGAACGTCACAATCATCCAGGTGGTGGAGCTAACTACCTTTGCCTTCCACACAAACCCAAGTATGACAGGTACAGCGATGGCAATCAGTACTCAGCATACATGTACGGAACCGAGTATGAAGTTCCTCAGTACAATGGAAACCCTTTCAAAAAAAGTCTTTATAATCACAACGCGCCTTGTGTTGTCTGCTTTGTCAAATCACGTGGTTCATTGCTGATGATGCCCGCAAGGAATGACTGTCCTTCTGGATGGACCGAGGAGTATCACGGGTACCTGATGACTAACTATTACAACCACCCTAACCAAAAAGATTTCATCTGTGTTGACAAAGACCCAGAGTATATTCATGGTAGCCACGCCCGCCGAGGGGAAAATTGGCTGTACCCTGTGGAAGGGTACTGTGGATCACTTCCTTGCCTTCCGTATGTCCAGCATCGAGAGCTGACATGCGCTGTCTGCACCAAGTAAACATGTCTGTACTTTCAGACGTTTAAGCTTTTTAATAAAATCTGTAGAATAAAGACCAACAAAAGAAGACGAGAAACAAATAATAAAATATCGTAGTCACTTGTGTTGATGTCAGGGTTGATATAAAGCTGACATAATTCGCAAACGGGTGCGGAAATCCAATTCATTCCCCCATTTATATCGTCGTCCGTCTGACGCAGCTGATTTTGCGTTAAAGTGACATTTACTGAAGGGTTACTGCGGCCATGGCTAGGTCGCCCCCCTTAGCAGGCACGCATATAGTAAAGCTGAGCAAGACTGATGCGTGAATGTTTTGTCCTCGAGTCCAGATGACAACCACCTTCTTAGCGACAACCCATCCATGCTCCGGCATGAAACTCCTCTCCGTTAATAGTCTTTAGTGTATACTAAAACAGTGGATATTGTTTTTCGCACGATCTGATTGGCTACTCAAACTCGGGATATCCAGTGCTATCCACCTTCGAGCAACGTAGTATTCCCCAAAGACAGAAGGCCGACTGAAACTGGTTGTATTCGGGAACAGCATGATCTAATGAGCAGTAGGCTCCATTTCACCGTATATCTGCTTGGTCATAAATCACAGAACTGAATTAGTAGGTTCGCATTAAATAAATACAATTGACATACGGTGACGATACGTCTGAAGGGAACCACCCAGGGTATGCTTTTGAACAAGATTGACTTCGCTATCTTTCCCTAGATGCACACCTTGTCAGACGATAATTACTCCAGATACCGTGTCCCAAATCCATGATAAGACTGAAAGAGATGAAAGACTGAAATCGGATCCACCAAAAGAAAGAACTGTCAGTTCAATATATAGTGTTCGTGTAAACACGCACTTTTAAGGTTGAGCACTCGAGAACGACAAGTCGTACCTGAGATCCAAGAATTACGAACAAGGATATGGACAGATTCGGATCCGTCAAAAGCGATAGCACCTAGTGAACAAACTCTGAAGATCTCTCACATTTCAGCTGGCAGAGTGAAGGTGCTTAGCCTGCGTAGGGAGCGTTTCCGATCGAGTTATAGCGCGAAAGTTGGAGCGAGAGCAGGTCTTTCGTCCCAATGTTCCCGACAAATTCACGCGGAGACTCTTGCTAGGCAGGCTAGAAAGTGCTGTGCCAAATGTAACTACACTGTAACAACTACTCCTTCCGCCTAGCATGGTATTTAACAATTATTCCTCGAGTCCGAATGAGCTCTGAGTCAATAGCCCATGGGGCAGAAGCCGAATGGGCTATTAACTCAGAGGCCATGAATGAGAGAGGAATAATTGCTTTAGTAAAATCCAACTAGTTGGTTAAAAATATCGAGACAAATTAAACAACTTTAGCTCGCAAAACGCGATTCAGCCGCCATTGTTTTGGTTTTCAAAGCCGGCGCTTTTCGCTGTTAGTAAAACGCCGGGAAGACGTAAATATTAAAAAACCAGAGGCGTCAGGTACTTTCTTGTTGAAAAGAAAAACAATCGATGATAGGTTTTAAAATCAGTGAGTACGCCACAAGACACGTCTTCACGTTTTAGTATTTGGCGATACGGCGAAGTGGTTTGTGGTTTCACTGTACTATACTAAGTAGATGAGATAGTCATCTTCAAGCTAGACTCGTTGAAGATGGCCGCCTGTAGTACTCGTTCTCAGTTACGGAAAAAATAAGGGGCGATTGTGGACAGTGACTGACCCATTTCCTGATTGTACCAACTCTTTTATCAGGCCCAAGTTGTTCAAAAGGTGGATAACGCTATCTCCCATAAATCTCTATCCAATGGATAGCACAATTGGTTTCTCTAATACTTATCCACTGAATATTGATTTATTCAGTGGATAGGGCTATCCAGCTTTTAAACAAATGGGTCCAGGGACTTAAAGCAATTCGCTACGGCGACCTCTACCACGGCAGAGTCCTGGGAAAGTTTAAGCAAGCGGCGCCTATGACATCCACTTTTTTATTTTTTTCATTTATATTTTATATCAGGGCTATTTTTGTCGAGGGATGCTGGGTACGTCAAATCGAGACCAATAAAAGTGGCGAGGAGAAAAAATGACCCTAACAGGGGAAGGCTGTGGATCAGTGTTACTCGGAATCAAGCGACTCAGAGGATGAAGATACGTCCGAGGGGGTCCATCAAGAGAGGGTTTTTGTACATGTGTCTCAGATTGACTTCTCTATGAATCTCTTTCCCTAGACGCATACGTCATAACTCTTAATACCTCAGATCCATGCATGGTTTCCAAAAGGTGATAAAGCATCTGCAAGAGACGGAAAACTGAAATCGGGTTCTCTAAAAGCAAGGAAGTTACTTCAATATAATATCTGTGTTCTCGTAAACAAACTCATTTAAGCTGGAACATTGTCAGATCGGCAAAGTCGCTTCCGCGCCCCAGATCTAAGAATTACGAACAAGAATACGGACAGAATCGGATCCGTCGGAAGCGATAACACGTAGTGAACAAACTCCGGTTGAAAATCTCTCTCAGCTGGCAATGTAAAAGTGCTATGCCAAATTTAACTCCTCTGCCTAGCAACTAATTCTTGCAACCTAGAAGGGATAATGACAATAGAGAATCTTCGAATTTAAAGATTTGTTACGTTATGAACCATTTTTACAAAGCACTTACAGGATTTGATGACTACTTTCGCGTAAGTAACATGCGAATAATTGCTGCGGAGCGACCGCAGGGAGCGAGCAGCAACATAATCAGGATTTAAAGGAAATATATATAGGGGCAACGAATTCTCGAATTCATCACTTTTTACCACAATGCATTGCATTTAACCACACTTTTTACCACAATGCATTGCATTTAACCAGAGTGCATTGCGCCACGAACAAGTCAAATAATAACACGGGGAAGTTCGCATCGTTCGCTGCCCAGACTCAGAGTTTTCTTTGTAGCAAATTTTCTACAGCGCGGTTAGAGGTCTTATCAAATTTAAGACACGCAGGAGTCTTTCAGATGAGTACAATGGTTAACTTGGGGATTGGATTTCAATTCAAGAGCCTTTGACTCGTCCAGGTGTTAAACCTGACGAGAAGATGAGTATTTGCTCTTAGACTCCGCAACACGGGGGATATACAAATTCCAGCTTGCTAGATGTGAAAGTGAGAAAATGTCATGCCATGCTATTCTTAAGAACCTGTATGAGCCGAAAATGGATGTGATTTTGACCATTCGCTTCAAAATAACAGCGGAAATCGACATAACAAAACATGTTTTGTGTCCTACGTTGCAGACGAGGACGTGTATCGGCGTTTTGAAAAGCATAATTATATTCTTTCATTCATTCATTGCCATGGAATATGCGTTTACATTGTTTTTTACTGTTAATAGCTCGATTAATGCCGCTGGCGATCATCTTGCCGGCGGAAGTTTCATGCAAAAAGCATTAAATTAAAGACTTTTCCTAAGATTACTTAATCAGTCTCTGTGGTGTAGTGGTTAGGTGTAGTCGCGTCAAGCCGATGGTGCTGGGTTCATATCCTACCGAACTTTTTTTTTCCTTCTTTCTTTCTTTTTTTTCCGTTTTTTCTGTTGTTGTTTTCCATAAATATATAGCTAAATAACTGTTACTTAATAAAGTGCAATAAAAGCAAGAAAAGTATCGTGTTTCCAGAGAAACGATAGTACACCATATATTAAATATATGGATAAACAATCTGAATTTCTATCATTTCCTACAATTTACTGTGGGAAAACCAGAGTTGATAACCACTTGATCATTTTCTATACAACGTTCCCACGAGTTCTTTCTATAGACTGATAGTAATTATTCTAGTACTTTCCAACATGTAAATAGGACATTCAATATCATTTTCGATTCTTTCAAGTCCCACTGCCTAACTAATGCCAGTATCAACAGAATGTGCCGCAGCATTACTATCTTTTAGATACCCTAGTTTCAAATAATATTGTCCTGGCAGTCTGTTATGCAGAACAAAGGAGGTACTGTTCAATTAAAATATAATGCTTAATGCGGTTCACAGTTCTGATGATCTTATTTGTAATGTAGCAGTAACTTAGTGTTACATTTATTGGTGGAGGTTTCTTTTCATCGATCGTATCATTAACATATACTACACGGCTCGTATACTTCTCGATGTTCCCTAATGTTGTTACTTTTCCGTATTTTTCACTAGGTTTTCCCCTTTCCTACCGCATTTTAATTTTGTGTTATATGTTCCAGCCGAGTGGATGCGGACATCAACTCAGGAGCCATTGTTATAAAGAATGATTTTGTAAATAAATGTCATTACATGATCTGCATGATGATAGTGTGAAATCGTCAATGACACATTACTTTCCAATTAAAGAGGATCTTGAGGTGCTTAATTCTACCTTGTGTGCTAGTAAATTGAAATTCGCTAAAATGAACGGGTTATTCTTTTCCTCGAGTTTGGCTAAGCGTTTAGAATTAAAATGGGTCAACGATCTTGACAGAGTTTTTATGAAGCCTTCAAAAAACACAATGCAAATAGGGAAAGTGATTTGCAATTTAGCGAACACGAAATTTTTCTGCTATTGGTTATCAGTGTCCCAAAGGGCCTAGATATCGTTGGAAGCAGATAAATCGATTGTCCAACAGTTCTCATTTTCTCGACCAGAAGAATTACCGAATTTTCGCGCGCGTAACGGTGAGATGGATCACGGCAAATCTGAAAGGAAATTTGATAAAGGGAAATTCTTGTCTGACGTGGTGTCTCCACACTTGGTCGTTTTTGTATGTGTTGTGTTGGCTGTGACTTCCGCTGCTTTGGTGGTCTTGAATGTTCGAATGAATCGACAAATGTCTGCGTTGAACGATGCTTTAGAGGAACTGCGTCGAGAAGGAAAGAAATTCTCTGTTAACGATTCTGCTGCGGTTTCTTCTGGATTGGGCGGAACCAGAGTAAAGAGGGCAATTTCTAACACAACTCCCGGTCAGAAATCAGACATTGAAAAGCGATTGCAGGCTGTGGAGGAAAGGTGAGTTAAAATAAGATGCAATTACAATCAAAGCTTTAAAAGATCAGTGTATGTGTTTTTTGGCATAAGCAGACTCTAAATCGATGTTCTATTTATTAATAAGTGAACTTACACTGTAAGTAAAAAAACTGAGAAGGAAACAAAACTAAAATGATGGTTCCCAAAAATTTTCTGCCAAGATGATGTTAAAAATTAGCCTTCCATGACCTTCAACAATTACTAATGAACAGTTGCCCTTCTCTAGAATTGTCATTTTATGTAAGATCCTGCCAGAAGTTTCTTTATGCCAATAATAACAACTTGGCACGTCATTTGAATTTTCAAGACTTGATGTTCAATATCCGCTGCCTCTTCATCGCTACATGTTAACATTTTGGCAAAGAGCTTTGTTCGCAAAAGAAGTTTATAATGACACCGATCAACATCAGAACGCTAAGAAAATGCAAAAAAATATGCAAGAAAAAACACTGGATGGCTGGCCCTCGGGACATCAGGGCTTAATCACAAAAAAATTGTTCAATGCGAATCAGCTATAAACGCGAAGACGTAATATAGAACAATGAAAATCGAAACTGAATCGCGATTGAAATGATCGAAAAGGGCGACACACCTTGTCTTACAGACTTTTTTCTGTAAATAACTTGAAACTAAGGGTGCATTTCTTTCCGGATGCTTCATCCGAAAACGGGTATTTCGTTTCTTTACTAAAATCCAAAAACGGATTATTAATCCGAATGATCCACCACAGAGGTGGATTCTTTGGATCATGTATCCAAAACCGGATAATTTTGATACATGATCCGAAGCGTTTCTTTACTACGGATCCGAAAAGAGTGAATACTGCCAGAGGTAACTCGAAACAATACAACATACATCACCTAATTGACAACGACACAGCTCAACTTAAAGGCCATTTTTGAACCCGAGGCATGGATTAACGATCGATTTATCCGTTATACCGAGTTGGAAAAATCGCAATACAAACAGTACCTGCATTGTTCTGGTTCACAAGGAAAAATTAGGGACCTTAAGCAACTACAACGACGACGACATCGACAACGCAAAAAAAACAATTGGGTTTATGAGCAAAACAACAGCTCTGCACGTGCATCGCGCCTTTTAGTACATTTTTTTGACGTCCACCGCACGACAACGACGTGAATCCTCCCAATGCGACGTTTTGTGCCAACGACATGCAGATATACCTTTCGTTGAACCCAAAGGCCACACTGGAGAACCGATGCACTTACTGTCTCGCGTTCAGTTAATCGTGCATCAATATTACCAGTTGGATGACATCAAACAAGTTGATGCTGATAGATAGATAGATAGATAGATAGATAGATAGATAGATAGATAGATAGATAATCTTTATTTATCCACGGTACAAAATTCGTCAGCTTTAAAAATGCCTAATACTAATATAATAAAAATATTTAAATAAAAAAGCTGCTTTCCACGAATGCCGTGCCTTACAGTTCTTTGAGTAATCGTTTAAATTGCCCAAGGGACTCTGCTTCCCTTAAGTTACAAGGAAGACTGTTCCAGAGAATGGCGCCACTATAGCTGAAGCTGTTTTTGTAATAGTTTGTGCGCGGTAATGGAACATTGAGTTTATTTTCAGAGTCCCTTAGGTTATATGCGACTTCTCGCCTTTCAAATTTAGAACTAAGATAGTTTGGAGTCAACCCGTGCAGAGACCTGTAAACCATCGTAGCTCTTTGAAATTGTTGCTGGCAAGCTAGGTTTTTCCACCCTAGAAGTTTGAAAAGGTGACCAGCATCTACGTCATAGTTTGAGTAGGTCAAAACACGGGCTGCTCTGTTTTGTAGCTTTTGAACCTTATTCCGTAAGGTTATCCCACAGTTTCCCCAAACAATGTTGCAATAATCAAAGTGTGGCTGTATTAAAGCTTGATATATTAGTTGTAAGGTCGCCTGAGGGACAACGTGCCTTATTCGTTTTATGGCCCCAATACCAGAAGCGACTTTCTTTGTTACTTTCTCGATATGGCCACTCCAATCAAGTCTGTCATCGATGGTCACTCCAAGTGATTTTGCAGTAGTGACCTGGCTAACTTCAAAATCATTAATTGCAAATGTCGGGGACTCTGTGAGAGTACTTAGCCTCTGCCTAGATCCGATAAGCATAAATTTGGTTTTAGTCATATTTAGAGTAAGTTTGTTTGCTCTCAGCCAATTGTGAACATTTTCTAAATCTTGATTTAGATGCAACTGAATATTGTCTGCATTATCACCTGCGTACGTAAGGTGGGTGTCATCAGCGTACATCCTCGGCTCACAGTTTGAAAGACAGTTTGGAAGATCGTTGATGTATAACAGAAATAATAATGGACCTAAAATCGTCCCCTGGGGTACACCACAACTTAATAAACAGCTTTGAGAGAGCGATCCGTTGATGGAGCACATTTGAGTACGATTCTCTAAATACGACTTAAACCATTGGTGCGCGTTACCATATATGCCGTAATTGCTTAATTTTGATAAAATGATCTCATGGTCAACTGTGTCGAAGGCCTTTTTGAGATCTAAGAAAACAACGGCGTTGATTTTACCGCGGTCAATATTGTACGCCCAAGTGTCCGTGGCCTCAAGGAGAGCCGTGACAGTTGAGTGAATAGCGCGAAAGCCTGATTGATATTTACAGATTATATTGTGCTCTTCTAGGTAGGCATATAATTGATCATAGACGATTCTTTCAAAGACGTTGGCCATAACTGAGATCACCGAAATTGGACGATAATTGTTTAAGTCGTCCCGATCGCCTTGTTTAAAAAGTGGGGTGACCTTTGCGCATTTCCAGTCATCCGGAAATATGCCTTGACTTATTGACTGGTTAAAAATATCACGGATAGGAATGCAAATGAGATCTGCACATTCCTGAATGAGCCTAGCAGATATCTTGTCAAGGCCAGCTGCCTTTGACTTGTTTAGACGATTCAAAAGTGAGAGAACTTTATTTGTACTGGTCGGATGGAGCTGAAACCGTTTATCTGTGCCAGTGAGGTACTTTTGATAACCATCACTATTTGAGGAATCAATATTGCTAGCAAGTTCTGGACCGATAGTAGCAAAGTGATTACTAAATTGGTTCGACAGCACAGTTGATTTGTTATTGATACTCCATTTACTTTCAGAGATGTCACCGATTTTTTCCCAGATTTTCGCGAAGTAAGTTCATTGATTGTCTGCCAGGTCTTTTTAGAATCGCCCGTATGCTTGTTAAAACTATTTTGATAATAGGCTTGCTTGGCTAATCTGATTTCGCTATTTACTTTATTCAAATGACCAGTCATTTGAATCATTCGATTTACTTGCTTTAATCTTTAGAATATCCCGATCATGCATTCGTTTCTTAAGCTCAGATGTAATCCATGGGGAACTACGCGTGCGAACACGCATTGTCCTCAAGGGAGCATGCTTGTTAACAATAGATAGAAACGAGCATTTCCATTGTAGCCACATTTGATTGGGATCAGTTGAATTGTATATGTGATCCCAACAATGAGATGCAATATCATTCCGACAATTTATTCGATTAAATTTTCGAAAGTTTTTGTAGGTTATAGCATTGTGCCCACCAGACATTCCATTCACGGATAATTTTCGATAGGCAAAAACTATGCTATGATCGCTAATACTGATATGACGAACCCCCGAACACACAACTTTATCTGGACAATTAGTATAGATTACATCAATCAAAGTTGCAGAAGTCGGAGTTATTCTGGTTGGTTCAGTGATAAGTTGCTGTAGACCATAAATATCAGTGATATTCATTAATTTGCATGTATTATTGTCATATCGAGTAGCAATCATGTCGCAGTTAAGGTCTCCCATTAGAAAATATTCAATATTTTCGGAATCAGTGACAAGACTGAACTCCTTGTGCACAACCTTGCCATCGTCCTCGCCCCCCACTGGAGTCTATTAACGTTGGCCATTACGTGATATACATGAATACTTCATCTACCGCAAAGAACAGAGGGGTCTGGTTTGCTGATGAATTTCCATCAATGGACAAACAAGTTAAGTGAGTAGACGATATATATTTCCTTGCGCAAGGAAATATATATCGTCTACTCACTGCGAGATCTTAATACATGTATTTATTACGTCAAAACTGGACTACTATAATTCTCACTTAACCGGAATTCGACAGGATCATATTAACAAACCCCAGTTTTTTTGTGCAAAATTCTGCCGCAAGTCTTTTGAGTAGTACTAGGAAACATTAACGTATTTCACCTGTTTTAAGGTCTCTTCATTGGTTGGCTATTCCGGAAAGAACTGATTTTAAACTTTTACTTCTTGCATTTAAATCTGTTATGATGTAGTACTGCCTTATATGGAAGAAGTAGCTAGAAGTGTTAGTTCGTTTTGAACCAACAGGAACTCGGCGCTATGCAAATAAAGCACTCCTAGTTCAGCCTAATTAAGTATAACCTTAAAGCCTATGGTTACAGAGCTTTTTCACACGTAGCTGCTAAGATAAGGAATTCCATGTCACGAGTCAGTTTAATTTAAGCTCATGTTGTGAGCTGAGCGCTTTCAAATCAAAAATCAAACATTACTTTTTAAGCGTTCTTTTCAGTTGTAATTCATGTTTTTTTTTTAACAATCAAGTCATTGTAATATTTTAGTAGGTTTATTACTATTAGTATTTTAAAGCACTTTGGATCACTGAGAAGAAGGTGCTATATATGTGCATGAATATTATTATCATTATTATTATTACTCTTACTGTGGAAGTGAACAAAAATAATCCTTTTTGGATACATCGTTTCCTTTCTTGAAAAATCCTAATGTCCGGATTTTGATCTGATCTTGGGTTTTAGTAAAGAAACACACCCTGGCCCTAAATATAAGTAGAGACAGATGGCATTTCAGACTGCCGCAGAAGTTGCACCTTGTCTAGAATGTGCCATTACTGTGACAAGAAACATAGGTCTCCAAAAAGGAAATAGTAAAAAAACTGCAAAATCGAAAAACGTCCAAACAACTCAGTTAAAGTTAGCTCACCAAGCTTCCTCTTTATCTTTCAGGGTCGGAGCGCTATTTAACAAGTCGGATATTTTTTTCAGCAATTTGAGGGTGCAAAAGCTATTTTCCTACATAACTCGAGGTATTGTGATTCACATGTATCAATCAAACAGTAAAATGGTAATAGGGATTTGCCAAAAGATATGATCTCTTGGATTTGCTTATTTTTTGACTGGAAAAATGAAGTTGAGTTGAGTTCACTAGAACTATAGGATTGGTTTGTTTGCCCCTCCCATTGAGAGAAAATTGGGGCATGAAATTCTGAAAATAATTAGCCGTAGCTTGGAAGATGCGATTTGTCATATCAAACACATAGAAAATGGAAGAATATTTAGCTTTTCAAAAGGTGCTCTTGAAACTTAGTCCAATACTATGTTGCGTTTATTCCAAGTAAATAATTTAACTTTGGATTTCCTTTCATTACAGGACGGGACGGCCGCGATGGATTACCTGGAAAACCAGGAATACCAGGAAACCCTGGGGTACCTGGTGTTGGGTCCCCTGGAAAAGCTGGGCCTCCTGGTAAGGAAGGTCCACCTGGCAAATCTGGGGCAAAAGGTATTCTTCTCTAATAAACTTTACTTCGTTAACAGAGAGAAAATAAGCAAAAAAGAAATGTTATCTTAGTGTCTATCAAGATCGAGCTTTTAGCTTTAGCTGACATTTTCCAATTGAAAATACTTTTCAACGTTGTATTTCTTCCACTCAAAGGGGATGCTGGTAAGCCAGGCGTTAACAAACCGTTTCCAGGCCCTCCTGGTCCCAAAGGAGAGAGAGGTTCTGCTGGAAGTCCTGGATTGAAAGGGCCTCAAGGACCAAAAGGCGAAAAGGGAAAGGAAGGAGCTGGGAAGTCTGGAGTGAAATATGTTCGCTGGGGAAGGACCACTTGTCCAGGAGGTGCTGAGGTGGTTTACAAAGGTACTTCCGCACAGCGACTTTATGTAAACCAACACTGTATTATCTACAGCACAAAGTTTTTAGGAACTGGTCTAAAAAACCAGTACTAAGTTATTTCCTTTTTCCCCTCTTAAAGTTAGTGACAGGGACCATTCACTGTGACGCTTTAAGTTTGCAGAAACAGCATTCACTCCAAATGCCCGATAATTACATCCTTTGAACCTTTATTTATTAATTTTATTGAACGCAAACTGATCGAGGTTTATTACTGTGAAAGCTCGAGTGCAGTAAATGTATTGAATAATTTGTTTTGGGCAACTTGGTCCCGCATGTGTAATAAATGCTTTTTTTGTGACAATACTTTGTTATTTTGTGCGGACAGTCACCAAGACTAAGGGCAAATTTGTGGTGAGGTCATTTGAGAGCGGAGTGGTGTTCCCCTATAAACCTGTTAAAGTATGTAGTTTATCATCCTTAGGTTTGATGGGAGGTGAACCTCACCATCACCAAGGTGGTGGAGTGAACTACCTTTGTCTTCCACACAATCCAAAGTACGACAGGTACAGCGACGGTAATCAGGACTCAGGATATGTGTTCGGTACTGAATATGAGGTCAATTCCTACAATGGGTATCCTTTCAGACGAAATCTTCATGATCACGAGGCGCCTTGTGTTCTCTGCTTTGTCAAGTCACGTGGTTCAGTGCTGATGATGCCCGCGCGGAACGATTGTCCTTCTGGGTGGACCGAGGAGTATCATGGGTACCTGATGACCTCATATTTCAACCACCCAAACCAAAAAGACTTCGTCTGTGTTGACAAAGACCCAGAGTATGTTCCAGGGACCAATGCCAACAAGAATGGTGCCTTGCTATACTTCGTGGAAGGGTACTGTGGCTCACTTCCTTGCCTTCCATATGTTCAGCATCGAGAGCTGACATGTGCTGTTTGCACCAAGTAATAAAACATTCTCTCGTCAGTCTCAGAGAATCATTTTGTAATCATGGTTGAAAAGTAAAACTGAAGAAGAAAATTAAAACAGATCTTGAGTCAGTTTGTATCAGTACTGTAAAGCTGTCTTGATCCGAATTATAGATGAAAGGTTTGAAGGTGGTTTTTCAAAATGCATGTGAAAGATAGCATTTTAATTTAGGTTTTGCAAAACCTGCGGAAGCTTGATCAGTTACGTACTATTTTCTCTAGACTATTTGAGTACTCTTCCAGGCCCTGGACAATGATCTCCTTTATAAGTGCCATGCCACTTATAGAAACTAACACAATAGAGTTATTACCGTAGCTTTGTTCAAACACGTGACTACAAAAGAAGTAACTATATAGGAAAAAAACAGAATAACAAAGAAAAGAGTCGTTTGCAAGAGGCATATAGGGAGGAAAGGAGGAGAGGAGAGGAGGGCTCGGGGGCTGGTGAATAAGTGTTACTCGTAATCATTCGACTCAAAGGGAGAACAAAAGTCTGAGGGGGGCAGCAGGGTTGTGACGAGGTTTGTGGGTTCCCCTTTTGTTGTAATCATGGACCCCAAAATTCCGATAAATTGTGATATCTGATCCCATAAAAATTTAACGGTCCTAAGCAGTGAGTTTAAAATAGCTTGCTGGGCAGATTTAGCCCTAGAGGTGCGGGTGTGATACCCGATCCCAAAATTGCAACCTGATCTTGATCACACCTCAGGGATCCCTGATCTCACCTCAATGACCCTAGATTACTCCCCACCGATTCCTGATCCCACCCCCTTGATTCATGATGCCACGTACTAGTCAAACCACCTTACGGGAACTCATGACTCAGGGAATGTGTTAAGTATGCGTGTTTTAAGATTGACGTCTTTATCTATCCTTAGATATACACTTTATAAGTCGGTAAACCTGTCAAAATCAGTTTCTCTTTCCTACAGTTGATATTTATTAAAATAAACGTCCACAAGAGAAGGAAGACTGAAATCCGTATAACCCAATGCACTGAACTTAGTTCATTGAAAGTGGCTAAACTGGATTTTTCAGGAGTAATAGCTCCCAAGTGTGAGGATTAACTACCACATCACCATTGACAAAAAACGGAAAATGATGACTACGGCTGTAGCAGACAGAGATAAAAATTAGTCACGATCAATATTATTTTGACATCGAAGTTATTTCCTATGCCTAGCCTCTGACTGAATGACTCAGCAGCAAGAGAGGATAAAGGGGGCAGAGAAGGCATCCCCCATACACACTCTATTCCACAGGTAATTCTTCTCGAGTTATTTTTAGAATCGGGATAAAGTTACCTCGCGCGCTGCGTGGATGTTTCGTGGTGGTTTCGCATGACTAAACGCCGTGGAAAATATGTCGGGTGAAAGGCAATGAAAGCGAACAGAGATCGAGAGCATTCCTGAATATTGAAGCGAAATGAGTCGGCGCTCACCTAGGAAAAGAGAATCGCTGGACTCTTTGACAACCCATGAAATCACTTAAACTCGAAGTTGTCGTAACCTTAGTTCTTTATAGAATGAGAATTTTGGCTGGTCTATTGAAACCGGTCGTTTGTACAATAAAGCAAGTAGGACGCCAAGTGTTGTTTTTGTTGAATAATAAAAGACTAATAAAAGCATAAATATCAAACCAGAAATTGCTCTCATCAAACTGTAAATTATAAATGATCCTGAGAGAATATTCAGTGTGTTGAGGATTTCCCTGCTGTACTGTTAGCTCCATACAAGAGAGGAAGGGAGATTCTTTTTTAATTTCCGTTTCGCTGACACAGCTTTGGCAGAAATCTTTCTGTAGTCGTTTTCGTCGACAAAACGAATAGCAATATCGCTCTCCGCGTCTTCCACCATTTTGTTCTGCGTCAATTCGTGAAGGATGCGTGGCTTTGAGCGTGGGTCATCCACGCGGAACACATTCGCGCTATGTGATTGGCTGTTGTCTAATCCCCCATGAGATATGTGGTGTTAAAAATAACTCGAGACGAATTACCTTTGGAATAGGGTGTGCATGGGGGATGCCTTCTCTGTCCCCTTTATCCTCTCTTGCTCAGCAGTTACAAATCTAAAATACGTGGATGATGTTTGCAGGATACGTTGTTATGAAACCTTCAATGGACTGATGCAAAACAGGGAAGGTAATTTGTAATTTGTCAAGAAATTTGCGAACACGAACATGCAATTTCTACTGAAGATTATCAGCCTCCCATCAAGGTCCTTGATAGTGTAATAGATAAATCAACCATAGATCAGTTCTCATTCCTTAATCAGAAGAGTTCCTCATTGGAATGACAAATCTGTTAAGAAATCCAGAGGTAAATGTTTGAGTCTGACCTGGTGTATCCACACTTGGTCATTTTTGTGTGTGTTGTGTTGGCTGCGACGTGCGCTGCTTTGATGGTCCAGTTCTAATCTTTGGAATAACTGAGTCGTGAAGGAAAGCAAAGTCTCTGTCCGTTAACGATGCCGCTGAAAAATAATCTTTTAAACTATCAGTTAACGAAACAAAATATAGTGAACTGGTTTGTATGCTAAGGACCCTCCGTCTGCTTTTTTTTTTATATATAAGATTTTGGTTTTAAAGATTATTTTTGGTCCGAAAAGTTATCCGGACTTTCCAGATATGGGCTCCAGCAGTTGGGCTTGTGTTACCCAACAGATAAATCGTTCTTTGAGAGAAAAAAAAAACACTGTATCTGATATGTTCTGTTAGTCATATTGACTATAATTATTAACAAGTGTTTTCAAAATTTGTTTCAAAATGTTCAAGTACCATGAGGTGTCACGTGACCCACTGTTCAAAGTCCTCGTTCCTATCTGTGTGCTGGAGTGGGGTTACGGTTGCCCTTGTCTATTCCAGGTAATAAATAATGGATAGGGACAACTTGCTTCATTTTTCTTACCATTTTGGCTCCTCAGTTGGGATCGCGAAAATTCCCAGAGGCATAGTTTCCTGTATACGCGAGCACGCACGTGCCTACCTTAGAAAATGCCGAAGATGAACTGATGTATGAAATCAAAGCAAACCAACAGATTGACAACTTTACTGCAAGCTCCTCCCAGTCTAATTCTTTTTTTATTTCATTATTTTTTCTTATTGCAGCTCAATTTTGCAATTTCTGGAGTTTCGTAGCAAGACCCTGGTCTAAATTGCTCCAAAGAACATCACAGTTGTCAGCATCACAGACAGACAGAAAAATAGACAGATAAAGACAGCAGACCGATAGATAGATAGACAGACAGACAGACGGACGGACTTTATTTCAACACGAAGTTTATTCAGTTACAGACAGACAGACTAACTTCAATATGCAAGTGAATCAGAGAAGTAATTACACAATCAAATTCATCATTTCATCCACGGCCAGACTTTAAAATCACCTTCAAAATCATATGTATCTGTAACAGACACGCTTTTGCACTGTTAGTGTACTGAATGTTAGGGCCTTCATCCACTTTTTCATTTATATTCTATGTCAGGGCTATTTTGACAAAGGATGCTGCATGGGTACGACAAAGCAAGACCACAAGTGGCAGGGAGAAAAAATGAACCAAGGAGGGGAAGGCTGGTGGATCAGTGTTACTAAGACTCAAGCGACTCAGAGGATGAAGATACGACTGAGGGGGACCACCAAGGAAATGTTTTTGTACTTGTGTCGAACTTCTCTATTACAGACGCATACGTCATTACTCCATGGCTTCCGAAAGGTGATAAAGCATCCGCAAGAGATGAAAAACTGAAATCGGAAGGAAGGAAGTTAATTCAATATATCTGTGTTCGAGTAAACACACACGTTTAAGCTTAAACTTGGACAGATCGGCAAAGTCGCCTCCGAGGACCAGATCCAAGAACTACGGAACAAGAACACGGACACTCCGGATGAAGATCTCTGTCATTTTAACTGGCAGTGTTAAAGTTCTGTGCCAAATGAAACTACACTGTAACAAGTTAAAACTACTAACTACTTGCACCTAGCAGGGAAAAAAATGATAATAGAGCATCTCCGAACGTAACTGTTATGAACCATTTTTACATCGTGCAGTTGCAGGATTTGATGGCTACTTTCGCGGAACGGTAATGTGCGAATAATTTCTGGTTCGTTTAATTGTCCTGTCAGTCAAATATAGACAACTAAGAAGGCAATGTTCACTTATAATAGTCATATTTGATATATATTTACAGTGTTGATCATCTTGTACAGCAGTCACTTTAGGCTTTCTCCTTTCCGTTGCTGGAATATTGCGTTACGTTCGAGTCAAGTGGATATAGAGTGTTTTCACTCACGTGACTTGGTTTCCTAGCAACCTTACTATCCGCCATGTTGGTGTCCCAAGAAAGAAAGCGTGAGCTGGTCACTTATTGTATTTATCGATTTAAACTGTGAAAGATCAATCTTATATGGGTTTCTATTACCATGGTTCTGTGTATTATTGTTGGCTGTGGCAACAAGAGTGGAAAAAGTTCACAAAAAAAGGATTCTGCAGTGAAATTTAGTCGCCTTCCGAAAATCGTTAGAAGGCGAAATGATGGAGCAGTTGACGACCAGAAGAAGACGTGCATGGATTTCTGCCATAAGTTGCAGTGACCTTACGGACGATAAGCTTGAACATGAGAGGGTTTGTTATAGGCATTTTGTGTCCGGCCGAACCGCCAAACAGTGCGAACAATTTGATGTTGACTGGGTTCCAACATTACATCTCGGCCACACGAAGAGACCGCAGCGTGTTCTGTTAAAAGTTTTAATGTAAAATAGGACGCTAGCAATGTGGGAGCAGGTTTCCCCTTGCCCAGCCATACATCCCCGGCAATGTGCACATAAAATCCTTTCGTCATTCTCGGTGATGATCCACAGAGGAACAGTTGGGTCGTTCATCTTTTGAGAGTGGTGAACCTTTAAAGCTCGTGTCCAGATACCCGGCAGCCGGGAAATGTTTTCAAAAAAACTAGATACCCGGCAGTCAGAAATTTGACCAATTTTCTCGAAATAGCTCGTTTAATTCCTCTAAGAACGTAAGATATTTGTTTAGAAATCTCAAGCGATTATAA